AAAAAAAAAAAAAAAAAAGGTAAGCAAGGCAGGTGCAAGAGGCATGTGTATGTGCTGACGTGGATGCTGACTCAGCATGATTCAGTTTCACCACCCTGACTTGGGGGATTAGGTCCCAGTCGGGCCCATCGTGATAAATTTCCAGAGACCCTACTGGGACCTAATGCCCAATCAGGGTTGTGAAACTGAATCATGCTGAGTCAGCACACACGTCAGCAAATACACCTGCATTGCTTAACTTTTTCCTTTTTCTGCAACTTCATTTGTGTGTTTCAAAATCTCCACAGGGTTTGTTAGCAGCGAGCTTGCTGGGTGTATTTAAACTGACCTATGCTCTCTCTCTCTCTCTCTCTCTCTCTCTCTCTCTCTCTCTCTCTGTGTGTGTGTGTGTGTGTGTGTGTGTGTGTGTGTGTGCTTGTTGGCTGCTGGTGCGATGCAGACAGTGCCTCTGATGTTGGGGTTCTTCGCATATAAGGGAGCTGTGCTGATTCAGACGCTGCAAGACAACAAGGATTTGCTCTTGGAATGGGGTGACGACGAAGACTCCGATGATCAGAAGATTGTTTAAAAAATTGTTTAACTCAAAAGATCCCAGAACAAATGTTCATATTATTTGTTTGCAACTTTTGTATTGATTTTGTCACTTTTATATTAATTTTGTCACTTTTGTATTAATTTTGTCATGTATTATTGTGGAATAATTATGATTTACAACCCTCATTGTACATATCATTAGTTGATCTCACATAACACAGACATTCATACACAGAGGAGGGGTGAGTGGGGCATACACACACACAGACAGAGACACACACACACACACACACACACAAAGAGAAAGAGAGAGGAGGAGGAGTGGGGGTGCTATCGATGCGAGACTGGCCGTTGCAATTAATTTATGGCCAGCTTTCCGAGAATCAGCACGCGTTTTCAATTCCAAAATTTTAATGTTGTTTTTGACACATCTGTAACAGGTCACGTTTGTGAATGCCTGTCATCTTCTTCTTAAGTTCTGACCCAACTGCCGTAGAAAAGTCAGGAATGGACTGCTCACTCAGTGGTGAGGAATCTCTCCCTCTCCCCCTCTCACTCCCCCTCTCTCTCCGTCTCTCCCTCCCTCCCTCCCTCCCTCTCTTCCCCTCTCTCTCCCCCTCTTTCCCTCTCTCCCTCTCTCTCCTCTCTCCTCTCTCCTCTCTCTCCCTCTCCC